TTAGTTTTAACATAATATGTTAAAACTAAATATAAAAATGGTTAAGGTAAATATATTATATGTTTGTTTTAGCAATGTATGTGGTAGTCCATATATGAAACATAAATTTCTTTCAGTGCAATTTTCGCGAGTTTCCTGAGATAGCTTGTCTTCGATTATTTTTACGACTATCTCCGGACAGGTTGATAATTTGACACCCAAGTTTTCTAACGCCATTATGCTCATTCGCGCTGTGTCTACAAGATTTTCCATACTTTTGTGATCATTGCAATCTTGCTTAGGCATATTAAGTATTTTTGTAAATGCTCCGCGATCAACGAGCGTTTACTTTCATAGGCCTTAACTAGTGTCTTCCACGCATCATTATAATCGGTTTCCGCATTTAGAAAACCTATTATCTTTTTTTCAGCATCGCCCGAGCACGCGGTTTGCAGTAACGCGAACTTATCCTTGTCGGATAATTCTTCGTCATCGTGAATTAGCGAAATAAAAGTATTTTTAAAATAAAGCCATTTGCTACGATCACCCGAAAAGTTTGGAATTTTTGCATGTGGTAACTTGAGTTTGCGTTTCCGTGAATTTAAAGAGTTACTCGATCCGTTTACCGAGTGAACGCTAATCAAGTCTGAATTATTTTGCATTAAGGGTCCGGAAATAAGCTCTTGAATTTTACTCGATATAGCGAAATAATCGTTCAAAATGTCATTTTTCTCGGTTGAATTATCTGCGTTATCTTCTATTAAAGTAATTTCGTCACAAATTTGATCAAAATTTCCGAAGTTAGTAACAAGTCTTTTTTGGCGTATTTGCAACTCAACGAATTGTGTGTCTTTAATATAATTTTCTAGATAATAGTGTAAATGATTTATTTCATCTTTAATTGAATTACGTTTTATTTTGAGTAATCTTAGTCTTTGTTCGATTTCGGTCATTTTGAATTAAAAGATTAATTTTAAGATTGCAATAGAAGTGTATTCAGATGTGTAAATGTAAATGTGTTTTTGGTGACTCAATTAAAAAAGCACTTACCGATTGATGATTGTAGTCTTCAAATTGTGTTGCAGACGCTGCTTCTTGGATCAGCTGGTTTGTGAGCTGTTAAAAATGAATAATTGCCTTGGTAGACAAGGTAGCTTGTATTTGCATGTATTTCGATTAATTATCGAATATCGAATCGACGAATAATTGCCTTGGTAGACAAGGTAGCTTGTATTTGTATGTATTTCGATTAATTATCGAATATCGAATCGACGAATAATTGCCTTGGTAGACAAGGTAGCTTGTATTTGCATGTATTTCGATTAATTATCGAATATCGAATCGACGAATAATTGCCTTGGTAGACAAGGTAGCTTGTATTTGCATGTATTTCGATTAATTATCGAATATCGAATCGACGAATAATTGCCTTGGTAGACAAGGTAGCTTGTATTTGCATGTATTTCGATTAATTATCGAATATCGAATCGACGAATAATTGCCTTGGTAGACAAGGTAGCTTGTATTTGCATGTATTTCGATTAATTATCGAATATCGTATCGTAATTAATCGAATATTGTATCGTGAATAATCGAATATTGTATCGTGAATAATCTTGTGCACAAGTAATATAATATATTAGATTGATATTATATTAAACGTATATAATATATTAGATTGATATTATATTATACGTATCATGATGCATGACTGCAGTCACGTAGCTTTTTAGTGGTACCACTTTTTGTATATTGTATAATTTGTTTCGTGTGTATAGGTTTGCTTTTGATTGCAATATAAGAATTTCGTATCGTTAATTTAATGCGTGACTGATATTATTATAAATATTGCTAATCAGCACCTATAAAAACGCATTGACGAAGTAGCCGGTTTTTCGTAAAACCGATCACTGCACTTCACGCATACATCAACACACACTTTACACTTAACTATGTTGCACTTCCAGTTTGAAGATAAGATGTGTTGTTGATGTGTCATCTGGTGTATCTGGCTACCGTATTGCCCTTGACAGCAAGGAATCGAGACGTCTCGTTTTGTTGATAATTAGTGCGGTTACACTAATTTTGTGGAACTAAAATGTTGTTGCGTAGTTCACAGGTCACTGGTTTATATCCGGTTCGAAGGACCAATTTTTATGTACTGAGCTTAAGTACGTTTCCTTGAAAACTAATCCATGAAAACATTTTCCGTATGCGAATTTTGTTGACTGAATTTTGGTGCAACAGGAACGTTGTTCAATAAACACAACTTAATAAAATTATATGTATTTATTTTAATACAGAGATGATACTCGGTTAAATGCTAATGAATAACTGATTGAAAATAACAAGAGCAGACTGCCACTCTTACAGAGAAAACTGAGTTGGTCAGCCCTTTTTAAATATAAGAAAAAATATGACGCAGTTCTCCGTTTCTTGTGTGGTCTTTGAAAGCACCAAGAAACTTGTATACGTCGCATTTCCTCTTGGTAACATTTTGTTTATAGTATCTAAATATTGTAAATATTGTTTTATAAAACACATTAAATTGACAGTGCATTACACATGAAAATAAAAACGTATCATTATATAATAAAAATAAGTAAAGGTAAAAATAACGCCGAATTGAACGTGTTCGTTCAGATATTATCTATACAGCTTTTTGTAGTTGCTGAGATTCTAGTAGGTTCATTTATTGTTTTAACTAACCCACAAACAAACAATTTTTAACAAAGCACAAACATCTTATAGTGATTTTCTCAAATAATAATTTTGAAATTTAAATAAAACCAAAAGAGCTTGTTAATCAACCTTGAAGGTTGAACCTTCTTTATCTCTGTTGTCAATCTCCAACTAATGCGTGCACGTGCAGCCAGTCACGTGAGTCGACGGCCTATGCGCGGTTATAATCATTTGTGCGCATTGTACACTTCCCCTCCTTTATATCGCTGCAATTCTCATATGCGGTGTTAAAGCTCCTGAATATAACCTTCTTAACTTCAAGTTTTAAAACCGACTTGTCGAAAAAAAAAGTGTAATTTTTTTATACTTAAAATAACTTTCCTGATTTCTTCAACACCCTCTATTATATAAAAAGATATTTTATACAATATTCTGTATGAATTAAGTTTAAGTTTAAGGTCAGTTTTATTCCTAATTAATAAAAATACCCTACATAAAAAATGTAAAAAAAATGATTGATTTGTCGTATTGTTGGTTATAATATAAAAGGTCAATATTTACTGCAAGTTTCGCCATGTTTCAGCCATTTCCACTTAAATTAAAAATTGATAAATTCTGCTCTAAAAACACCTTTTAAAATTATTTTTTTAGTGCAATGTGGAATAAATAGTTATAAATAGTTATTTGTAAAAGATTTAAATGGTTTTTGGATTTTTGAAAATGCCTGTTTTAAAAACAACAGGCTTGAACTGTAAACAGAGAGAGCCTTTTTCTCATAAAAACTAATTTAGCGACCTCTTAATATTTGTTGAAAAATCTCAAAAAATGCATGACTTTTGTAGTGAAAACACAGATAATTCCACTTCAGAATTTAAAAAAATAATTCCTTAGTAAAAGTGGAACATCCTAATACACATCTCGTTTTCGTTACGTTTTTGTTTAATTAATTAATATACTTGTAAATTATAGCTATATCAAGGTATTGACATTACTAAACCAGACTTCTAGTTCTACTTCTTTATTAATCTTAATAAAATTAATTTGGTTTTTAATATCAGCATAATAAATACGTTATTTATATATTTCTTCAACGTTGAGGCTCCCGTCCCGAGGCGGTACTTAAGTTTAGTCCCGAATACACTGTTTAAAATATCTGTGGTATAAAAAGTAATCTTAAAATGGTGTCAAAATCCAACACCAAGTGGTGTTAATATAACACCATGAATTATGGTTGAAAATGTGTACCGATCGCGGCAAAGGCGGTGTGGATCACGTGATGTTCTTAAATCTCGCCTCTGTTGACTTACATGAAGAATATATAAACTCAGGTAATCCTTTGCTTTGGTGTGACACTACAAGTTGTTCGATACTAAAGAGACCTTAAATAGGTGGAAACAGCTGTCAATACTTGAAGTATTTTAAGTTAGTGCAACGCACTAAAAACATTATCTCTAGCGAGTTGAAGGTTCCTTTTTCTGGAATAATACCACTGGTAATATACTAGTAATGCGTCAAGGAACTTCCTGTTTCCTTTTTTTTCCTTTTTTCTGTGTAGTATGATTTAATTTGTCCACAAACACATAATATTTAACACTGAAAAAAAAATTTATTTTAATACTGTGTGAAAGTTAAATTAACACCATTTTAGTATTTGAATTTACACCGGACCAACGAACCTTATTTAACACCATTTTGGTTTGTATCGATATAGACCATGTTTGGTGTTAATTTGGTGTTAAAATGGTCATGAAATTTTGAACAGTGTAACCTCATAATTTTAAGATTTGTTATGTTACGATAAAACTAAAACAAACCAACCAAACCAACCAACCCAACCCAACCCTACCCAACCCAACACTTTATAACAAAGGAACAACAAATTTATAAAATAAAAAAAGTTTAACAACTTCTAGTAGTAACGAACCGCCCTACCATCTGAGCCATCCAGCCTAACACAAACTTTTAACGCTCAGGGAATAAAAACGGATTTACAGTGTGTGACGTCAGTCGGGATCGAAGTCGAGTCCCGCCTCGGGACTGGAGCCACATCGTTTCTTCAATCGTGAAAGTGATAATGTAACTTGCTGTATCTTTTTCTAAAGCTAGGTCACCACAGAAATGTACAGTTATTGTACATTGATTAATGGCATATTTTCTTTTTATAAACATTATTAACTGATAGCATTGCAAAGTTCAATAGAAATAAAAAAGATATATCTAAATAAATTAGTTTGCCTTCGTCAAATAAAAATTAGGAAAACCTCTGTTAATAAATTCAATATTAATTTACTTATATAATTAAACATTTCATTTGTTTCAGATAAACAAAGGCATCAGCAATGGCAACTATTATTAATTCAACCAATACCATTGTAGGACAGGCCTACGAATATTATTTATGGACACTATCGCTCTCAGGTGACACATCTTATATAAAACGTTTTTCCACAATGATTGATTGAACGTACTTCTTTTAGATTCAAGAACGAGAGGATGGATGTTTGTCGACTCGCCTGCTCCTACGATACTGTATACTTTATTATATTTATTTTTAGTCTGGTTAGGTCCTAGGTTAATGAAGAATAGAAAACCTTTTAAATTAGGATACATCCTCATTCCGTACAACCTTTACATGGCTGCTCTCAACGGCTACATAGCATTTCAGGTAAGCAATTATTTTTATTTGCTTGACATCCAGTGGCGTAACTATAGAAATGGGGGCCCCAGTCGGATTTTCACCAGGGGGCCCTTACCAGAAATTTTTTTTGAATCATTTAAACTTTTCCCACTCCAACGGATAAAAATGATGTTGATAAAAAGTACCAAGTGTTATTCAAGTAAAACATTTTATTTTTATGGAATAATACTCAAATCAGGTCTACGTTTTAAAGAATATTTTTATTCCAATATTTCAAACTGCCTCATTGCAAACATATACCTATGTATGCTATATTATATTATAATATATATATTATTATAAGTGTAATACTAATTTATGCTATATTATAAATAAGATTTCGAATTTGAGAGTTTGAATCTTGATTTTTCATTTTTCTTTTTTCATCTCTGAATTTCTATTGTTGACTAAGAATGTATAATTCCTATTCAAAATTTCAAACTTTCGATGTGAAGTATTCAATTTATAATTTTAAATTCACAATTAACCTATGTTTATTTCAAAATATTTAATTCAAAATTTTGAGTTCAGAAATTTGAAAAAAAAGAACACAATAGAAATATAATATCAAGCAGGCAACGAATATTTATTACTACAAAAAAACAAAAAAATTATTTTTTTATATTGAACATTTTTCTTATATTTAAAAAAAATTCTCTTGCCACTTCTGGGGGCCCCCTGGTGCTCGGGGCCCCGGACCGGGGCCCCCGGTCTCTGAAACCGGTAGGACCGGTGGTAGTTACGCCACTGTTGGCATCTGATGTGTCGAAGTTAATGTATTAAAAATATACAAAATATTTCTAAAATGCACACCTCATTTTAACTAGCATTATCGCGGCCTAAAATTTGTTTCTTGTTGTTTTGACTTACCAACTTCCAATCAGAGTTGCAAAAAACGCATTTTTTTAATGAAATGATATTTCATTGCTCATTTTTATCATAATGAGTAATGAAATTAATTTACATTACTCATTTTTTTCGTTTTATGGAGAATTACTTGTACATTTCTCATTTTCAATTTTTAATGAGTAATGTAAGAATTTACATAACATTTTTTATTTTAATGAGTAATTTGAATTTATTTCATTACTCATTTTTTTTTGTTTTAATGGGGAAAAAATGAGTATTTGATTGCTCATTTTTAACAGGTACGGAAATTATTTTTTGTTGTAGATAACATTTGTTTTTTATTTTTCGCACGATTTGCATTGGATATCATAATAATATACGAAATATTTGTAACGAAAATAGGTTATAGTTATGGAAATATTTCTTCTAAAGATATCGCGTTTTCAATGCCAAAAGGGCGTTTTACAGCTAAACCAAGCACGGATTTGTAATCTACGACCAAAAATTAAGTTAACGTGTCCGAGCGTTTAGCTGTGATATTTTCACCTCCCTACAGTGTTATTATTTGAATAACAATCAAAAAGTCGCAGTAAAAAAAATTGTGGAGTAAATGCGGAGTGGATTATTTTTAATTGATTCACTCCAACCAGGATTAAAATATACTGCAAGAAAGATTTATTCCATATTATTAATAGAATTTACTCCACAGAGTGAATAATTTATTTATTTATTTACTGAATAAAGATAAAAAATATTTGTTAATCGTTTAAAAATTATAAAATGCATATTTAGAGATTTTTTTGACACATAACTTTTTTGAATTTTTGTCATAATTTGAGTTTTTATGAGAATTTGAATTTGACTTTTTTTATTTTTTTGAAAATAAAAATTTTTTTTATTCGATTATTTTAAAAATTTTAATCATTTTAAGAATTTCAAATTTTTTTGAAAATTTTAATTATTTTGGATTTCTTTTTTAATTTTGAATAATTGTCAAAATTTCAATTTTTTTCATATCGACAAAAAAGTTTTTTCAAAATTTGATTGTTTTATGCCGAACTTTTTAATGAGTAATGTATTGCTACCATGATACTACATCTTATTTAGTATCATGATTGCTACACTACTTATTGAATTGTTTAATGAGAATTGAAAATGTTTTACATTAATTTTTTTTAATGGGAATGGATTATAATTACATTTCCATTAAAAAAAATGACGAATGCATTTTATTTTTCTTTTGGATTTTTGCAACACTGCTTCCAATATCGTTAGGCCGAATCTGGCTAATTTTAAATATTGCAAGATAATTATTAATTAAATGATTAAAGCTTTTTAGATTAAAATATTTATGATTATGAATAACCTAAATAATATATTAAAATGTATGCATGTAACATTTTGATACACCGCCCACTGTATAGTTACTTTGTACCCCGGGCCCGAATGAAGGTTAAATAAATATTACTAAAGATGTTTAAATTCTGTGTGCCTTATAAGTACACTATTGAATTAAAACTTCTGAAGAAGATAAAAGGAATCGAGTTTTAGAGTAATGATTATAATCACTCCATAGAGTTGTGTATAAATGACATAACCCTTACGACTTCATGCTCTCCTAATACTTAAGGGCATTTAGAGCCTTCTTTATTTTCCATGTCATATTTTACCCTTAATTTTTTTAACTTCCTCCTTGCTTAGGAAGTTTCACTTAAAATACAAAAAATATTTTTTACCACAATTAAAATTAAGTTTAATGGACAAATCTAAACGGTTCTTACGGAAACAAAACAAACATATAGCTGACGTTGACAGATCTAAATCCTAACAATATTTTAAGTTTTAATTTTTGAAAATTTATTGGAAAATTGTTGCAATTGTTTTACATAAATAAAAATCAATTTTTAAACCTACTGATAGAAAAAAACAAAATTTTATACCTGAACAAACCCCCCAAACAGCGTGGCGTAGCCAAACATTGTAATATTGTGGTATTTGTTTCGTCAGGTTTTATAATAAATTATTTTTTATTTCAGTTATTAACAGCTTCAACGAGACTGAGATATAGCTACATATGTGAACCTTGTAGACAAAAGTATCATCCTGATGAATTACAGGTAATATTTTTAGATTTTTTTGTTTGTTTTAAAGTTATAATATTTCGGTTTTCTGTTCAGATTGCAAATGCAGTTTGGTGGTATTATTTCTCAAAACTGCTAGAATTCTGTGACACATTTTTCTTTATATTAAGAAAAAAGAACAACCAGCTTACGTTCCTGCACGTTTATCATCATTCTACAATGTGGTGCCTATGGTGGATTGGAATTAAATGGGTACCAAGTGGTTCCAGTAAGTAAACTCAAGATAATCTTGTGTTTACTTCCTAATAATTAAAAAAAAAATAGGAAAGTTGCAATATTTTTTTTCTTAAATTAAGGAAGTTAAGCTATTTATTATTACGAGCACAAGTAAAATGTTAATTGACTTTCATTTTAACACTCTTTATTTTGCAGCATTCTTGCCAGCCATGGTTAATTCAGCAATACACGTTCTTATGTATTCCTACTATGGGCTCTCAGTTCTTGGACCTAATGTTCAGAAATATTTGTGGTGGAAAAAATACTTAACTATTCTTCAAATGGTAAAACAAATAACAATTGTATAGGTATATAGAATGTAATATACATACATATTTTATTTGTTTTAGATTCAGTTCACTTGTGCCTTAGTCTTGGGTGCCAACGGTATAAGAACTGGATGTGATTTCCCATTGTGGATGCACTACACGCTTATTATTTATATGATGTCGTTTATCGTACTTTTCGGTAATTTCTACGTAAAGGCGTACATTGAAAAAGTAAGTTAAAAGACAAGATTTACTTTTTGGTAAAATAATTTAAATGGAGTTGTTAGTGGGCAAAAAAACTAAAAATAACGTAACATTTTATTTGAGATATATACAGGGTGTGTGGAGATAATTTTGCACCGTGTTCTGCTAAGAAAAATATGAAAAAAGCTCCTTTGTACATCGGTCCTAAAAGGAACCACTAAAATTTGATTTTTATTAATCTATTATATCTGAAGCCTTACAATTGACGTGGACAAACTTTGCTTTGTTTAAATTTGTTGTCCAATTTGGTTAAAAATATAATTTTTGAAAAAACTTAAAAAAAAAAAGTTACTTCTGGAGCAACATTTTTGGTCAAACAACGTAACTGCAACCGGTTTCGAGAAAAATTCATTTTAAAATTTTCCATTTTTATGATGTAAGTTGCTTGTTTAGTTACTAATCGCCTAAGTCGTTCTATTCAAGTAAAGATGTAATCCCTGTTAATATGATTTTAAATAAAAAATAGAATTTTTTATTTTACACCTTTTAACTATATATACAGGGTGTCCCAGAACTCGCGACACTGAGAAAATTTTCTCACACTTGTACGTACTTACGTACATTAATATTGGTGTTTTTCCACTCGCCGCCCCACTGCTTTGGTCGGCTGGCTAACGGTTAGCCAGCCGCTAACCTGGTCGGTCACAGATTCATTGTTACCACATTCAGAGGAGGTCATCGCCGATTCGGCCGTTACTCAAGTTTAAGTAATAAAATATGAACACAGAAAAAACGCTAGCATAGCATGAATGGGTGAGCCATTAAACCAATGGGATCTTGTAATCCGTATTCCTGAATAACAGTTCCTATAATACCAATAGGTAGTTAGCACTTGGTTTATAATCGTTTACTGTTTTTAAATTAACAACAAAAGTTATCGCTCCTAAATCTATTGATATTCATATTGATATTTATTGGTTAGATGGTTATTGCATTAATTTGATTTATTTAATAACGTTACTATTGTATGTATAGTATGTATACATTTAACGCAATATATTCTTTGACATTAAGGCAAAATATTTCCATATTTTGGTTTAATAGTAATTAATTGAGCAAATAACAATTTAGATTGCTTCAAATTTAGGTAATGCATTCAATGACAGCGCTGTTCTTGGTACTATGTTAGATTTTTTTCTGTGAATTTATTTATAATAGAAGAAATTGTATTAATTTGGTTTGATAATTAAAAATATTTATTTATGTCAAAAGTCTAAAAAGTGAGTATTTTTGTGCTGAGCTCAAAGTTTGAAGGCCGACGCGTTAGCAGAGGCCTACAATTAAGCGAAGGCGGATAATCGAAAACTTTGGTATTGAGCGGTGACAATAATAAAGCTTAAATTAAAGAACGCTTAAAGATAAAAACTCTTTTTAATATATAAACAATGTTAAAAGTTGTGCCACATTGTATTAAGTTAATTTGACAAAAAAAAATTAAAATACTTTTGTCCCGGGAGTTAAACCCAAGCCTCCTTTGTGACATGGCCACTAGTGTCCGACCGAATGTCAGTTTTTGGCCGAAGCTGAAGCCAAAGGTTCGGCTCTTGTCGTAACCTTAGGCCAAAGTCGAAGGTTTAATAAGACTTAAAAATTTATAAAAATTGACTTGACTAAACCAAAAAAAGTTATATGTCGGCCGACCGATCTAGTCTAAACAATCGCGATGCGGGCGGGAAGCAGGAACCACGCGTTGCGGTGAAGTCAGCGTCATTCGTAAATCGTAATATTTCTTTCGTTCAGTTTTGGAGGCTGGCCGGCGACTGGACACAAACCTTCGGCTTCGGCAAAAATCCTTTGGCTGGTTTTGGCCGAAGCCGAATGTGCTTTTTTGGCCGAAGGTGGCCGGTCTCTCAAGTTATCGCAATAGTTCAGGCTTCGATCGGGAAAGCGCTGGAAAAAACTCATGCTGTCTCCCTAGCATTGTGCCCACACTTCTTATAAATAATCATCATTTCAGCATAATCAGTGGAGGAAGTTTTGATGCTTTTCTCCGCTGTTTTTATTAATTAAAATAACACGAAAAGAAATTTTGAATACAATTAATCCAGTAAGGTAGTATTACAATCAAATTTTTGATCAATATAGCGCCAATCCAAAATTAGACTAATATCAATAATTCATTCGATTGAATTATTTGCTAGGCTTAAATGTATCAAACCGTGATAAATAGCACCAAATAAGTTTTATAAATTACTACAAAATTTAGAATAATTATAGTGAAAATGAAATTAAATTCGCCTACGATTTTCTAGAATCCACATAATATTTTCTTAAATTTACCAATTATTGGATTCAATTAAGCACTTTTTAGGTCAATTTAATCTTTTTTTTAATAGTTATAAAAAATTTGGCAAAATTAAGAATAATTAGGATAAAGTTTATCAGATCATTTGATTGATTTGTGTAAAATTTATCTAAATAGTTAGTAAAAAATATATTGAATTTATCAAAAATTGTATTATTTTGATCAATTCAATATTTGATTATTGACTGGAATATTTATCTTCGTAATAAGCAGTGATAGTGGGGTAGGTAAAGTAACTATATATATTAAATTTTGTCTTTAATAAATATTCATTTATTTTAGCTTACAAACTTTCATTAAAAATAACTCAATAAAATAATAATCTATAGGTTCAAAATACAAAACAATAACTCAATAATGGTTTAGTTTAACAAGTGTTTTTATGTTTAATTGACTAATATAATGTATAATTTTTTTAAGTTTTAAAATATTTGCGTTTAAAACCTTAAAAAGCAACTGTTTAAATTTAATTTAACGGCGTCAAATTAATCAAAGATGGTGGCTGAAGATATCCCACGTGGTGCGCACAACAGTTTTCGAATGCCAACGAAATCGAACAGACCTTCTTGTGAGGATTGTGATCACGATTTTAATATTATCCATATCCCTGACGTCTACTTGACAGTGAAAATGCTTGGTAGAACATACCTATATTACTCTTAATAACCAAAAACATGGAAATTAATAAAAAAATGTATACCTACATATATCGCAAAAACTATGAGAGCGAAGTTAAAATAAACGGTTTTGGAATCTGCTGTGTTGAATGGACACGATCGTTCTTTCACAACTCACTACACCACCTGTCTCGAAGAGAAACTGCAAACTAAAACGCGTTAAAAATTAAAAATTGGCATGTTTGCTAAATTTGCTGCTTATATTACAGATTTGGTCAAAATATTAGCTTGATTTTAGCTGACTTTTAATAATTCAGTCAAATATTGCAATTGCAATTAGTTTTATATTTGATTAATGTTAATACACATTTTATACGTCTTTTTCTAAAATTCATTAAATTTTTCAAATAATTCAATCTAGACAGGATTATTTTAATTTAAACATGTATAGATATTAAGCAATTATTTTATTGTTTTTATTCCAAATATATTTGGAATATGTTTAAATTAAAATAATCCTGTCTAGATGAAATTATTAGAAACATTTACTGAATTTTAGAAAAAGACCTATAAAATGTGTACTAACATTAATCAAATATAAAACTAATTCTATCCAAATTTTGATACTACTTACTAATACCAGTAAAAATAAAGTTAAATTAATTTAGTTCTTATTTAAATATTATTTGATAAAATTAATCCAAATAGGAATATAATAATAAAATCCAAGAGTTGATCTTATATATCTTTTTTTTGAAAATTAAGCTTAACGTTACATAAAGCCAATCTTAATGTTTGATTGGTTTAAGAAAAACTTTTTCTGTGACCAATCTTAACTTTGCTGTTCCCAGAAAAAAGTGTATTCGATTTATCTATCTTAGGATGTTAATTTTAATTTGATGATATTAATCATTTGCGAAATGTACATATTTATCATAAAAAACTTAAATTTGTCAGTTTTTTTTCTTTTCTTTCATTTCTTTCCGTGGATAAGAACCAAAACATAATGAAGTGGATTACAGTCGACCAAATATTTTTAATATCCACAATGCATACTAAGTATTGTTGCAATTTAAAGAAATGCATTGGGATTGGCTATCGTTTTGTTTTCTTACCTCGCTTTTCCTTTGCGCTAGACCATTTTAATTTTTAAATATGTGTTTGGCATTACTTTCGGCACGTTCACTTTTTCTTTGTGGCGCAGTTTATGGGACACTCTGTGTATGAAAAAAAAAGTATCAAAGAAATCGTAGAGGCTGCGAGTATGTTGAAGCTGTAATAAATGATAAAAACATCGTCGCTATCGATATTAGCGATGCAACGTCTTTTAAGACACGCTTCATTGTCAGTAACGATAGCGACGACGCTCTTATCGTTTTACAGATACAACATCTTAAAAATCATAAAGAAAAGTACTAGTTTTAAGGTTAGAACCTTTATCTGACAGAGGTCAGATTTTATGGTAGTATAAGATCTATGATTACTTTTATTTTATTTATCAAGATTTTTTCATTACAATTACGCAAAACTCTCACTTATGTAATAATCTATTTATTCATTTTAAAAGTCATAATAAGTTAAGATAGTATCTTCATTTGAATAGTTTTCATATAAAATTTACAAAATTCTAATAAATTTACTTTCACAAAAAATTTTAGATTTTTTTACAGCGCAGATTCCAGGAAAATAATTATTAAAGTTGCATTTGTTTTCATATGCCAAACTGTATTTTGCCCATGAGATTTCCATAAAAAATAGGTACTATTATAATCAATTTTCAAGCTAATTAGCTACTTAAGTATAATAATCAATTTTTCAGCTATCAACATGATCCAATTTTGTTTTTAGAGTTTTGAAACGAATTTTTGATATAATTTGGAAAATAACACTTCTGCTAAAGTGTTATTTTCCATAAATTCTTTCAAAAATTCGTTTCTAAACTCGAGCAACAAAAGAGAATCATGTTGATGGCTTAGAAAATTTCTAATTAATTTAATAATTTATTATTATTATTTAGTTTTTGAAATGGTTATTTCAAATTTCGTGCTGCCAACCTTAAAAACACAAAACTATGACAGTTAATACCTTAGTTTTGCCATTGTTACACAAATTAACAATTTATATTGCTATTTATTTACTTTTTATGTTGTTTTTACTTTTTAATTTGTAATAAAGTAGTAGTATGTTAATTAAAATAAGTCGGCAGCGCTAAATTTACTTTAACTTCCTACTGTTATTTATTTATCAAACTCTTCAACTGAAGATACTACCTCAAAAACAAATATTTGGTTATGATTACTTATAAGTAAGGCCCGGATTTTTAGGTCATGAAAAAGTGATAAAAGGTTCCTAAATTAGGTGATATTTTTAATAAAATAGGTTATTATTTTAGGTACCTATATTTTAGGTACTTAATTAAAAAGTTAATATTGGTTGGCCCGTATTTTTAGGTTATAAAAAAGTAAAAAAAATGCAAAAAATAGGTCACATAGTTATAAAATTAGGTTATTATTTTAGGTGCCTACATTTTAGGTACTTAAATAAAAAAAATAAGCTGATTTATTGAAATAAAATGTTTTCATTCTAATGTCGATATCGTTGTAAAACCATACATAGGGTCTTATGTAGTTTTAGTTACATTATAATTGCTCTGTTAATGTCCGGCAATAAAGGATTTAAATTAAAAATGAAATAGTTATTAAAATATTATTTATTATTAACATTAGGTAACAGAACAAAAATGTTTGGTTGGAAAAATAAAAAATAAAATAAAAGATTCTTTATAAAAGTAAATATATCATATCACAAATAATGTAAAATAGCAAAAAAAACATAATAGGAACTCTAGAATTACAAAAAAAAACAAAATAGGAACTCTAAAATCAAAAAAAATAAATTTTATTAATTTATTTAACGATTATATGCATGACAGACAAAATATTTATCCAAGTTTCGCCCTCGGTGGTGTAGTAGTTAGCACTGCGGACTACAAGCCGAGTGGTCGTGGGTTCGAATCCCACCAGGGGTATGGCTGTTTATTTGTGTTTGTCATTGTGTACTTCTGTAATTGGGCCTGGTGCCTGTTGAAAGCACATTAAAAAAATAATAAAGAAAAAAAATAATAAAACAAAAAGTTTTCAAAAGTAAAGCTAGTGGGTTTATCAGTCAAAACATTTTTAAACCAAGAGAATGATCGTTCAACGTCACAGGACGGGTAAAAAAAGTTCATTTTAGGTATTAAAAATACAATTTAGGTGCAAAAAAGGAAAATAGGTGAAAAAAATATAAAAAAGGTATTTTAGGTCAAATAAAACTTAGTCAGATGACTCAATTTTTTATAAAACGGGCAAATACAAAAAAATATCTTTAAAACCTAAAAAACCAACAAAAGGTGTTTTACCTAAAATCCGGGCCTTACTTATAAGTACTTATAGGTATACCATTGGTGAACTGCATAAAAAAAGAAATGTACAATATATTATTTAATTACAGGGAAGTCAAGTATTCTTCGGCATGGACGTAGGCTGTGGCCAAGGAAATACTTATATTGAAAAGGAAGAAAAGACCTGCCAGGAACAGGAAGAGTTGTATGGCGGCATCCAAAGCGAAAAAAAGATGATGTAAAAAGCGTTAATTTTAAATTAAAAATAATATTAATCGCAATAATAGATATTTAGGTTGTTTATGCTCAGTACAGTAAAATCGCGTTCTTCCTAACGAATGAGCTCTAAATTTTTTGAGCTTTAAATTAAGCTGTTATTTAGTTTGTACTACTTTGTTAAGTTTCAGTATATTTTGTTTATTATTTTAGGTTCTTCTTAAGAACTTTTTGTATATAAAATACTTTTTCTTATTTATATAATTATAAATTGTACTTAAAAGTTAGATCTGTTAATGCTGGTTTGAGATGTTTAAGAGTTTGGTAATTATAAAAAGTCAATTAATAGTTAAAACTAGATTTTAAGGCTAATCAAAAATGTCTATAAAAGTTTTTTTAAAGTTTGTTTAAATAGCAATATTTTAAAATAGGGTTTTAATGTTTAACCATATTAAATCATAACGCACATATCAAAATTTTAATATAAATTTTTTCAGTGTGCGTTTTGCCAATTAAATGGTTGTTTTATGATAGACATCATTCAATCGCATATTTTATATTTTATACAATGTATTGAATAAACTTTTTGTAGCTGAATTCAATAAATATTTTTTTTACTCCCACCTTTAAAACGCCCATTATAATTATCGTACATGTTTCCATGACCTTTTAAATACACATTGACCCGTTGTGGCTTTATGGCGTTTTAGTCACTGGCTGAAGTTGTCAACAGATTTTTAGTCACAGGCTGAGGTTAGTTTTAAGTTAGTTGACAGTTGTCAAATGTCATACAATCGTTAAAATAAAGTGGATGAGTTCGATTTTATCCTTCAAGTGCTTTACATCGATCCATGAAAAAGTCTTAAAATAGGTGACTTTGATCCAGGAAGGATAAAATGGGGTTCCCGGTAGGGGATCCAAGTCTCGGGACCAAAAGACCAATATTGACTTCGGGACCCGGCTGAAAAATCCCGGAACTAGTCCCGAAGTCCCGAATATGGCAAGTAGGTAGATTTAAACCTTACCTTATTTAAGATATGACTCGCACGAAGGGTAAATAAAACAACTATTTAACATGAAAAAACTTTGCTAGTGCATAACAAATAAACATGTAACAAAAAACCAAAACCTAAATTATTCTTAGTACTTAGTTGCTTACTTGTTGAGGTACATAAATAAAATGAAATAAATGTAGGATTCCCTATAAATATAAATGAAACATATTGCTAATCGTTATTCGTTCTCGGTAGGTTAAAGTAAAATTTTAAGGAAATCAAAGCATTAACGGATTCATTTCCAAAAGACGATCTTACTTTAGTGGTAAAAGAACCGGCAACTGAAAAAGCCCTCTCGGCTTCAACACTAGTAGGAGGAATGGTTGAGAAAATCGGCCACGATTACCCCCGTTCTGAAACAGACATTTCCTTCTGTATAAAGGGCAATTTATAATAATAAGTAATAATGTGTGCTAAAAAATTCTATAATGACAGAAAAATTATCAATTCCTCAAATATGTCTAAAACCGTATGTAACATTATCGACTAAAACATTAAAAACAAAGTAAAAAACAAAAAACATTTAAATATTAAAACTATATATGGTCTTACTTTAACTGATAATAAAGAAGTATCAAATGTTTTTAATGATTATTTTCTTAATATACCCAAAGAAATAATTCAAGGCAATAATTACCAAGAAAAGTTAGACATTAAACTTTCTGGTGTAAACCAAACTATTTACTTAAACGATACTACTGAATAAACTGTTATTAAAATAATTAGGAACTTAAAAAATACTAATTCCAGTGGTGTTGATAATTTTTCTAGTTATGTTACAAAAAAAGTGTTCATTGTATAGCTAAACCATTGTGTTTTTTGGTTAATTTGTGTTTAAATCAAGCAGGGTTTCCAAATATGTTAAAAATATCAAAAGTTATTTGTTTATATAAAAATTATGACACCAGTAATCTAAACAATTATAGACCTATTGCTCTACTTTCAAAAATTTTCGAAAAAATTATTGCTGATCAAATCATAAGCTTTCTTAACCATTATAATGTGTTAAGTAATAGTCAACCTGGTTTTAGGCAACAGAGATCAACAATGACAGCACTAGTAGATATTATATATTATTTATAAAAAGTTAGATAAGGGTGAAAATGTTATGGCGGTATTTGTTGATCTTTCAAAAGCTTTTGATTGTGTGGATCACAACCCTCTTTTGAAAAAAATTGAATATTTTGGTTTGCGTGGTCACTGCAATACTTTGTTAAAATCGTATCTAATGCACCGCAGGCAATTTGTATTGTATCATGGTTCGAAATCATCAGAAAAAGAGGTTGATGTGGGTTTTCACCTAGAGAGTGTACTAGGGCCACTATTGTTTATATTATACTTTAACGATTTATATAATTATGTAAATTTATTTCATAAAGAATATGCTGATGATTTAACCATGATTGCATCAAATAAAAATGCCGAAAAAATGATAGAATACTTACCTAATAATAATCTAAATTCAGTCGCCAAATATTGTAAATCCTTTAACTTAGCAATGAATCAAACAAAAACTGTAACAATGGAATTTTATCCATACAGCGCGCATTACACAAAGAGTAAATTAATAAAACTAAATTGCAAATCAGTTGAACAGGTCACTAGTTTTAAATTACTCGGTGTGCACTTGGATGGATATGTCCTTAAATTGGAAATCACATATTAATGAAGTGTGTAGCAAATGTTGTAGCAATTGTTTTGCTTTATTTAGATTGCGCAATATTGGTAGTAGGCAAGTTGTAAAAATATTTTATTTTTCTAATTTTGAAAGCTTACTTAGATATGGAATTATTTTCTGGAGAAATTCATGCAATGTAAATAGACTATTCATCCTACAAAAAAAAAATTAAAAGCATGTTTGTAATAAACTCAGAGTCTCCTTATCTTAGAAAAATTATGACACTCTCTTCCATATTTATTATTGAAATCTTGAAATTTGTTAAAATATTCTTAAACAAATTTAATTTACAAAATTGTTATCATAATAATCCAACCAGACATGGCAACAATTTCCAATATTGCAATCATTCTATGACATTGTATGAATCTAACCCATATTATATTGGAGCAATTTTATGCAATAAATTACCTGCACAATTTAAAACCTTTAAAAACAACAAGTTTTTCTGCAAATTAAAAACTTTACTTTTGAGTAAGGCTTTTTACTCCGTGAATGAGTTTTTAGCGTTTAATTTTTTGGATTGTTTCGGTTAATTTGAGCTGTTTCATTGTTTCATTGTGTTAAATGATTTTTGACCTATCCTATATCTGTAAGAGATCTCTTGGATTAAATAAATATTATTATTATTATTATTATTATTATAAAGCTGCCTCGTTCAGTTGGAATGACAGCACTTGATGACTTCATCTTACACTGGGAGTTTAAACTACTTCATCAAAATTTTGGGACCACCGTAGGTCCCGGGACTAAAGCTATGTTCCCGGTTCCGGGATCCCGAGACTGGATGCCCTAGTTCCCGGTATAGAAGTATACCAGTATTTCTCGACAATATCGCAAGCTTATGGTTCTCTGGACGTAGTGAATAAAAAATACAGAGAGAGTTAAAATAAAGGACCATTGTTAAATAATACTAAATGTAAAAATTATTTCATTACCTCAATACCAATATTTGAAAATTTTGAATGAACATTATAATGGCCTTTTAATTTTGCCGGCAGTAAATTAGATTTAATGGGTTAATTTCGGGTGGAGACTCCACCATGGAGTGCCAATAAAACATTTTCTTTACTTTCAGTGTGAATAACTGCTTCTATATCGGATTAAACGGTCCATTTTTAAAACATTTTGATTTATACATAAAAATTTGACATTTGACATAATACAGATTCCCAAGTTGGTTACTATATTGTTTTATAGATGTCGTTACATACAAATATTTAATTTAGATAATTTTTAGATAATAATAGGTATTTGTCGTTGAAAAAGTATAGTATGAAACTCGTTTATAAACTTTTCTGAACACTTATTTAATTAAGCACACGATCGCAAGCTCGCTCGTGCCTACATTAAATTCGTGTCTAAAATGGCGTTTATCAAACTTGATACTAGGGAATGCAATCATGGTATACCAAAATCTTGAAATACCAAGATCTCCCACTAATTCTGGAAGATTAGGCTTGCACGAAATTCATGCGCGATCTCGCAAGATTTGCGAGATTAGGACGCAGCGCATTCCATGTGTGTTTATGTTTTTTGCTTCAATAGCTTGATGATTATTCGTAAGTAATATCATAAAATCTAATTTTTCCGAAAAAATCGAAAAAACACGTTGCTAAGTAATATTTTAAAAAGAAGCATAAGTGCTGGTGGCAACAAAAATACGAGTCGAAGACAAGGATTTTTGCACCTGCACGAATGCATTTTGTTAAAAAATATTACTTAGCATTGTGTTTTTTCGATTTTTTTCACAGGAAAAATTAGATGCCCCAATGGTATTTGACAAAACTATTTCATGAGTAACAGTTAACAATTAAAATATAAATTGCAATTTTTGGTGACAACAGCTGTCAAGTTTTGCCGCGGGTAAACTTGAAAAAACTGCTGACAGGGGCTGTCATACAGTTTTTTCACCTAGAAACCATTTGTAATTCAAAATTACGCGTTTGTGATTGGTGGAAATTAAGACGAGGGAAATAGTCGTATATAATATTATATACCACTAGTGGTAAAATAATAATAATAATAATATATTTATTGCCATTCAGATCAAGGGGGTGACATAGGCAAGGTCAAGGAAGATTTACAGTGTTATTTGTTGGTTTACATTTAAAAGAATTAAAAAACTTACATAAAAGTAAGCGTTCATAATAAATATACAGATTGTAATGGTACTATATATGGGGCAGTTATTTTTTAACAGTTAGTTTAAGTTTTTAAGCTTTACGAAATATTATATTAAATTTTAAATATTTGTTTTAAAAATTGTATTAGGTGTTAGGTATAAGTTTCA